TCTGGACAGAGAAAAATGTCAAAAAAGATCAGGTTGGCATCAAATGATGGCTTGTCCCAATTAGCAATACCAGAGGCATTTAATCAGCCAACACTAAACATTTAACAGTAATTGCATAATTAGATTACAGATTAATGAGTGTCATAAAGAAAACTGATAAATCACTTATTCAAATTTTTTTGTGAAAATAGACCATTAGCAGTGATTACCAACTCCATTCTAGGCAGTTGCAAATCAATTTCAGTTCACAGAAGAGCGACTACAGTAATTAATCGCCCAAAGAACCTTAAACTGATATAATACTCCTTCCCTAACTTTATCAAGGAAAGGGAATTCGTAGAAGAACAAAATTGAGGGCATGTTAGCCAGTGTACAAGCACATCAAGCCAATAGACATATCGATAGTCTCCACATTATTCAAGTGCGATCAACAAACGGAATGCTCGAACATCCCATATCTAAAGCCAAAATTCTATTAATTTTTAAATTCTTAAAACCCTTTCTTCATTTCATCCTAAAGTTTCTCTTTTCTCTTTCGGGTAGATAAAATCGATCATAAGAATAACATAACACGAACATATATCAACATAACCGAAAATAAATAAATAAATAAATAATAATAATAACCTTATCACAAATACCAACCAGCCGAAGCTAAGGTTTTAATAAACGCGATATTGAAGAAAAAAGACAACCGGAGTAAAAATTGACACTCACCTATATCGCAATCAGCAGGGTTAAGAAGAACCGGCGGGTGAGTTGTATCCGATTCAGTAACCTTTACTTTCTGTCGTTTACGTCCCGGTTCGGATCCGTCAGTTCCCGGTGGCTCGCGTTCCACCGACGCCATTTTTCGCTCGGATTGTGTTAAGAGTGTTATTTGAGGAATGAGACAGAAATTTTGTGTGTGCGTTCCGGTGCGTGGGTACCGGGAAAAAAAGGGTCCGGATCTCCTGCGAGAATTATTTTGGGGACATTGGCGGTTAGTCCCATTAAAAGAAATCGTGTTTTTGTCCTTCCACGATTTTAGTAGTCAGAACTGACTAAGCACTATTAAATTTTGTAATTTATCATGTTCGGCACGATATATTGACAAGTGAGTTCAGTGTGATCAGATAATTATATCAAACTAGTCGTTATCACGTGCGTTGCACGAATTTTATATTTATCGTATTTTTATTAATGTATGAATTTTAGCTTTTTTGGATAGTTTTGAAGTAATATCTAAAAATATTTTCATGATATATAAGAAAATAATTGTAAATTATTTTTATAATTGCATAGCAGTATATTATCTAGAAAAAATATGCTTGTATATTTCATATTTGAATAAAAAATATACAAACTATTTTGCTTGTGTTATTTGATAGTGTTGATATGATTGAATTGAATGTGAATATTATATTTCTAAATTTTATGTAATTTAGTATTGTAAAATTGAAAAAAAAAAAAAACTCTCTGCACTGTACGGAAGAGATTTGAATCAAGTGCGGAGTAAAAATAAAAAATAAAAAAAAAGGTGCGAAGAGAAAAAAATATTTTCGCATCGTGCAAAGAGAGTTGAACCATGTGCAGAAAGTTGGCAAACTCTTCGCACAGTACGGAGTAAAAAAAAACTCTCCGCACAGTACGGAGTAAAAAAAAATTCTCCGCACAGTGTGGAGAGATGACAAACCAACTCTCCGCACAGTACAAAGAGAAAAAAAAACTCTTTACACTGTGCGAAGAGAGTTAATCTCTTCCCACAGTGCGAAGAATTGATCCGCACCATGACAAAACTCTCCACACAGTGTGGAGGGAAAAAAACTCTCCGCGCAGAGCGAGAGAGTTGAACCGTGTGCAGAGTAAAAAAAAAGTGCGAAGAGAAAAAAATATCTCCACACAGTACGAAGAGAGTTGAACCATGTGTGGAGAGTTGGTAAACTTCTCGCACAATGCGGAGTAAAAAAAAAACTCTCCGCATAGACAGTGCAGAGAGATGATAAACTAGCTCTGCCGCACAGTACAAAGAGAAAAAACTCACTGCACAGTGCGGAGAGTTGTTTTCAAATTTCCTAATTATAAGTCAAATTTCAAGATTGTAAATTTTTCGTATATACAACGAAATGGAGTTGAAAAATATGACTCAAAATCAATTATATCTTCTTTAAATTTCAGTCACAGCTCAATTTTTTAGCATGCAAATCATATTTAGGGTATTAGAAAATAGTTTTCTCGTTATTCATACAATGAAAAAATATGTGAGTTGTGCAAAAAATGGAATATTGATAGTACGATGGCATTGCTTTCACAAATGGAGGCTCTAGGGTACCATCCAAATTCAATATTTTACACTTACTTGATAACAGCTTTTGGACGTCAGAAGTAGATACAGTTTTCAATGAAATTATACTTTCATGTTGTAGGCGAAGAATTAAAGTGTTCAATGCATTGCTCAAAAGTTGTTTGAGAAAAGGCTTCTTGGAACTTGCAAATAAAGTTCCAAGAGTTTTTGTTTTTCTCTTCACATTGTACGGAGTGATAGTTTGATATCTCTCCACACTTTGCAGAGTCTTTTTTTTTGCTCATGTGTGGAGTTTTTTTTTTTGTCTCATGGAATTTATATATACTAAAATTATTTATTTTTTTATGTTGTTGACATGATGCATGTGTGGAAGAATATTTGTCAATCATCATAAATTAAATTATTCACAAAATGCAAAAAAAAAATGGTATAGTAAATCTTCTTATTACGCTAATAAAATTACAATAAATTTTTTTTTTTACAAATAATATAAAAAAATTATTTTTATTTTCAACAAAAAAAACACATTTAAAAATTAGTAATTTCATAACCACTTTTTTTTTAATTCTCGAAAATACAATTATAAAAAAGGAAACAATATTGAATTACAACATTTAATACTTAAGAAATTCAATATTAAATAAATTTTATACATTTATAACAAATTCTAAATCCATATATGCAGTTTACCGTATTTACAGGCAGCTTGCCGTATATACATCTTACCGTATATACTGTCTATCGTATTTGCAGCTTACCGCATTTGCAGTCTATGTAGTATTTGCACACAATTTATTGTATTTACACCGTACCGTATTTGCAGCCTACCGTATTTGTAAATAATTTACTGTATTTTTACCTTACAGTATTTGCAATTTACCGTATATGCTACCTATCGTATTTGCAACTTACCGTATATGCTACTACCGTATTTGCAACTTACTGCATTTTTATATATCGATTTTTGCACTTACAAATATCGAAAATACGGAACACCGTATATTCACTTACTAAACCGAATTTCAAAAAAAATCCAAATTTTAATTTTTTCACTATAAGTATAAAATAAATATTAAATATATATGAAGCGCAAAATATAAATGCATATGAATATGGTGCTCAATCTTCAATTTTTCAATATCGAATTACACAAAATTTAGAAATATAATCTTCCACATTCAATTCAATCATATCAACATTATCAAATAATACAAGTAAAATAATTTGTATAATATCGTATATTTCTTATTTGAGTATGAAATATACAAGTATATTTTTTCTAAATGACACAATAACGAGTGATGTCAAAACAAGACCACGAGGTCGAGCATGCGCCTCTTAATCTTGAGATTCATTCAACTTGGCCCTTGTTTGCTTTCGAATAGTGTTTTTAACTTATTCATTGTCTAGTTCAGACAGCCATCGAACATGGGAGTCCTAGTTTATAGATGAAAATGTGTCAAAGATTTCTTTCGAATTGTAGATGAATGATACAAGTAACAACTTCCATCACAACAATTATAAAATACATCTCTAGTTGCACAATATAACTAATGAGATCTAATCAAACAATTTCTAAATAAACAAAGTAATTAACTGTTGAGATATGGGTTTTTCTTATGCTTTGAATAAAGAGGAAGTTAAAGTGCATTCTCTGCGGTTTTCCAATCCTAGCAGATCTCTATGCTACCAGGCTATCAAGCGAAGGGAAGTTGGCCTAGGATATTACTTGACTAGATATCATTAGCGGAAAAAACATTCCATAAGCCATAAAAAGCAATTGCATAGAAAGTGGTTTTAGTACCTCCGGTCGTTCATAGCCATCTATAACAAGTAATAATTCCTCACCATATAAATCCTCGTTAAAATCACGAGCAACCATGGCTCCAGAAATTAAGGTAT